TGCAAATGTGAAATAATGCAAGGAGAGATTATGATTATGGAGGTAATATGTAGTGTAATCAGATGATGGGGCAATGTATTAATCAATAAGATGTAGGAATGAGATTATATAACCAGTCTTATTTTATTTCACCTTTTCCTGATTTCGTGCTTGAAGTTGAACTCCCTCGAGGATGAAAAATATTGAAATTCACAAAGTTCTTTAGTGATATCGAGGAATCCACTATAAAACATATTGTTACATATCATATTGAATGTGGAAACTAAAAATGATGAAGATCTTATTGATTGAAGATCTTAATGATTTGATGAAGTCAAAGGCTACTTGGGTTAAAGGGTAGAGTAATTAGTGAGTCAGCATCAATACTAATAAGTATAACCATTCCTATCTCTCTGCTACATGAGGATTATTCATTTTGAAAGAATTTGGAAATGCCTCTAAACGTTTTAATCTGTTAAAAACTGAATTAATCGATTAATATGATCTTAAGGATTAGATTTAACTAATACATTCTAAGGTTAATCGATTAAAATGAGCTAGAAACATTCATGACAGAGTTTTAACTAATATATTTTCGAAGTAATCTATTAGAACCATTTAAAACATACACTGGAGTTGTTTTATGTTAGACAAATGACATCAAGAGGGGGGGGTGAATAGATGCACAAATTAAAATAGATGTCAAATTAAAAATTTATTTATGAGTCAATAATTTGTTTGAACACAGATAAAGCGGAAGCGATAATATAATCAGGAAAAGAGAAAGAGATAAGGGAAAGAGAAGAGCACACAAAAATTTATATTGGTTTGGGTATAGCCAACCCTACATCTAGTTCCCAGTCAACTCTTAATACAAGAGTGACTCCCCATTCACTATCTTTCAAATTCAGTTTACAAATTACAATCAACTCAGCAGAAGAACCAGTAAAAAGTAAACTAATTAAAAAGACAATCACCTCCTTAGAAACCCACTAAGGATGAACACCTCCCTAGAATCCCACTAGGGATGAACACCTCCTTAGAATCCCATTAAGGATGAACCCCTCCCTAGAATCCCACTAGGGATGAAAAACACCTCCTTTTCCACCAATGCAAAAAGGATGAAGGTAATAAAAATAAGAACAGACACACCTGGATAATGGAGACAACAAATTGTAGAAGCCTGTAGAATGCCAATCTCCAAGAACAAGTGTGATTAACAATGAAAGCACGTAAGACAGTAGAGAAGAGGGTTTTCTCAAAAGGTGTAAAATATCTCTCGTTGCCTTGCTCGAATTCTTTTCTCAAAACTGATTCAATGTAAATTGTATTTTCAAATTCTGTAATTGTGTGTTTTTTATTTTTCATCAAAACTTAATTAAATAGAAAAATAGCATCAGAAAATGGTCGTTGGACATTAATAATATCATAGAGAAAATCAGGATGTATTCAAAAACATTTATTCTTTAAAACAGATATATTTTTCAAATTTGAATTGCCATAATTGATTATATTACCAGTATAATTAATTATGATAGAGAAAATCATTTTCCATTTCTGGTGCATCATAATTAATTATGACAGTGAAAAATATCATGTTATGAATTTTATCACACTTGTGCTTTGGAGGCTTATGCATAATATTACTTCATCAACTTGTACCTCCATATCCAGTATTCTAAGACTCTATCTAGTCTTTAGGAATCATCTTGGGCTTGCTTGAATCATCATCTTTATCACCTATGTCATAAATTCAGCTTGTCCTTAAATTCATCTTTGAATGTTGTTGACTTGAATGTAGTTGACTTGAATCATCATCAAAATCATCTCTTGGGAATGCAGGAACATTTCCATCAATCTCCCCCTTTTTGATGATGATCAAGGAAACACCTGAAATGAATTAAAATGCTTGACTCTATATAGCCAGCTCAAGATTAGCACAGATTTGTATCAAGTGTTAGAGTCTCTTAATCTCCGCCTGGATATATTAATAACAAGACTCCCCCTAACTCATATGAGAAAATACTTCTCTTAACTTCCTTTGTTTAATTTAGATAGGAAAGAATTTCACATAGATTTTAATTCATCAAAAAATCTCCCCCTGTTTCATTGATAATCATAAAAAATATTATAAGAAAAAATCTTCCCCTATTTCACACAGATTAATATCATCAAAATATCTCCCTGTTTCATTGATAATTAAAAAAAATATTATAAGAAAAAAAAATTTCCCCTGTTTCAGATAGATTAATATCATCAAAATATTTCCATGTTTCATTGACAATTATGAAAAATATTATAAGAGAAAAAAAATCTCCCCCTGTTTCACACAGATTAATATCATCAAAATATCTTCCTGTTTCATTGATAATTATGAAAAGTATTGCAATAGAAACTGAGAACAAATTTGTACCTATTAGTATATAAATCAAGGTAGAGAAGATAATGCATTAAAAAGTGTCATAGAGAAGAATATCATATTAAGGAAACAATATCTAGGATACCCAAGACAAATGAAGAGAGAGAAAGATAGGGGAATAAAATGATTATAGAGATAATGAAATTAAATGCAGTAGTTTCTCTCCATTGCAGTCTTCTTATTTAGGCAGCTTTCAAATTTAAATGCACTCATATTTCAAATTTCAAATTCAAATTCAAACCAATTCCAAATTTCAAATTCAAATTTCTAATCCCAAATTTCAAATTTCAAATTCCAATTCAATTTCAATTTCAAAAATATCAAACTGCAAAAATTTCAAATTTCAAAATCTCAAACTACAAAATTTCAAATTTCAAAAATCTCATTGCAAAAAAAATCTCAAACTGTAAAATTTCAAATTTCAAAAATCTCAAATTGCAAAATTTCAAATTTCAAAAATCCCATACTGCAAATTTTAAAAAAATCTCAAACTACAAAATTTCAAATTTCAAGAATCTCAAATTACAAGATTTCAAACTTTATAATTTCAAATTTTCATAAATTCAAATTTTCAAAATTCAACCTTTCAAATTTCAAAGTTTGTCAACATAATTGATTATGACAACAAGAAAAAAATTCTGATTCTAATAATCAATTAGATGCTCAAATTATCATCTAGACATGTATAAATCCTTTACTCCTTTAGGCACCCATTCATATTTGCCACTAGATATGCCACAATGTTTTATGTAACATCTATTTGATGTATGACCTAATTTCATGCAATAAAAACATGTTGGTTTTCTTTAAAAAGGTCTAAATGCGTTTCTTAAAGTTTTTGAAACTGGTTTCACCTCTATTTTCCTTGACTCTTTCACAAAAATAGTTTTATAAGGTTCTAGACTTTCGTTGGGTTTGTAACCAAGTCCAACTTTGCTAGAATTTCCTCTTTGATAACCTAATATTGAATCAAGATTTTCAGAAGATTTTGAAAAATTGCTTATAATTTTCTCTAACTTGAAAATCTCATTTTCCAACAGATTACAATTTTCACAAGGTTTAACAACTTCTTTATTTTTAGACAAAGTTTTATATTTCTCAACATCTTTCTTTAAGCACTCATTTTCTTTTTCAAGAATACCAACAATATTTTCTAATGCATTAAACTTTTGCCTAAGTGCATTGTATTTCTTAGATAACTTGGGAAAACCTTCATACATATCTTGATATTCTTTAAATAACTCATCATATTCATTTAAGGAATTTGTACTACTTACCTGTGATGAGGCTTCATCATCACTTTTTGTCATCAAGCAAAGATTTGTTTCTTCTTCTCCATCAACTGCTTTCGAAGAACTCTCTTGTGTTGTGGAAGAATCATTATCCTCCCAAGCAATATAAGTTTTGTGTTTGCTCTTATAGGTATCGTTCTTCATCTTCTTCTTCTCTTTCACATCTTTCTTCTCTTTCTTAAGTTTCGGACAGTCTGATTTGATATGACCAGGTTTTCCACATTCATAGCAATGAAATTTATTTGTTTTCTCCTTTCTTTGCTGTCTATTTTCCTGTTCTTCATAAAGCGAGAAAATTGTTTAACAAAAAGAGACATATCGGAATCCAAAAACTTACCTTCATTTTCGCTTTCGTCTTGTGAAGATTTTTCTACTTTTAGAGCTATTGTCTTGGTTTGATTCTGTTCACCGTTCTTTAACCTTTGTAGCTCCATCTCATGTTCTTGCAGCTTTCCAAATAGAGTAGCAATATTCATTTTTGTGAGATCCTTTGATTCTGTAATAGCAATGACCTTTGTGTTCAACTCCTTTGTGTTCAAGATCTTTGTGTTCAAGATCTTTGTGTTCAACTCCTCATTGTCAAAACTCTTTCCTAATGCTTTCAAGTGATTTACTATATGTGTGAAGCGTGTTTGGAAATTCGTGATGCTTTCATTTTGCTGCATTTGAAATAATTCATACTCCTGGATGAATGTGTTTTTACGTGCTCGCTTTACTTCATTTGTTTCTTCATGTGTTACTTCAAGAGTGTCCCATATTTCTTTTGCCGTCTTGCATTGTGAGACCCTGAAAAATTCATTACGAGTTAAGGCATAAACAATAGCATTTCGGGCTCTTACATCATAATGGGCATGCTTATTTTCATCCGGCGTCCATTGATCAAAAGTCTTTGGAACAGCTCCAGACTCCGTTGTTCTCATCGGAATGTAGGGACCATTGAGTACAGCATCCCAAACACCATAATCTAGTGTTTGTAAAAATATTTCCATTCTTGCTTTCCAAAACTGATAGTCTTCTCCTTCAAATAATGGTGGTCTGTTTATTGAAGCTCCTTCCCTATAAATCTGATTCTGCATAGACATCTTGACAGATTGTTTAGAAATATCTTATCTAACCAAGCTCTGATACCACTTGTTAGACAAATGGCATCTAGAGGGGGGTGAATAGATGCACAAATTAAAATAGATGTCAAATTAAAGATTTATTTGTGAGTCAATAATTTGTTTGAACACAGATAAAGCAGAAGCGATAATATAATCAGGAAAAGAGAAAGAGATAAGGGAAAGAGAAGAACACATAGAGATTTATACTGGTTCGGGTATAGCCAACCCTACATCCAGTTCCCAGTCAACTCTTAATACAAGAGTGACTCCCCATTCACTATCTTTCAAATTCAGTTTACCAATTACAATCAACTCAGCAGAAGAACCAGTAAAAAGTAAACTAATTAAAAAGACAATCACCTCCTTAGAAACCCACTAAGGATGAACACCTCCCTAGAATCCCACTAGGGATGAACACCTCCTCTGAACAAATCAAAGGATGAAAAACACCTCCTTAGAATCCCACTAAGGATGAACCCCTCCCTAGAATCACACTAGGGATGAAAAACACCTCCTTTTCCACCAATGCAACAAGGATGAAGGTAATAAAAATAAGAACAGACACACCTGGGTAATGGAGACAACAAATTGTAGAAGCCTGTAGAATGTCAATCTCCAAGAACAAGTGTGATTAACAATGAAAGCACAGAAGACAGTAGAGAAGAGGGTTTTCTCAAAAGGTGTAAAATATCTCTGTTGCCTTGCTCAGAATTCTTTTCTCAAAATTGATTCAATGTAAATTGTATTTTCGAATTCTGTAATTGTGTGTTTTTTATTTTTCATCAAAACTTAATTAAATAGAAAAATAGCATAAGAAAATGGTCGTTGGACATTAATAATATCATAGAGAAAATCAGGATGTATTCAAAAACATTTATTCTTTAAAACAGATATATTTTTCAAATTTGAATTGCCATAATTGATTATATTACCAGTATAATTAATTATGATAGAGAAAATCATTTTTCCATTTCTAACGCATCATAATTAATTATGACAGTGAAAAATATCATGTTATGAATTTTATCACACTTGTGCTTTGGAGGCTTATGCATAATATTACTTCATCAACTTGTACCTCCATATCCAGTATTCTAAGACTCTATCTAGTCTTCAGGAATCATCTTGGGCTCGCTTGAATCATCATCTTTATCACCTATGTCATAAATTCAGCTTGTCCTTAAATTCATCTTTGAATGGTGTTGACTTGATTGTAGTTGGCTTGAATCATCATCAAAATCATCTCTTGGGAATGCAGGAACATTTCCATCAATCTCCCCCTCATTGCTTTCATGAGGATTATTCATTTTGAAAGAATTTGGAAATGCCTCTAAACGTTTTAATCTGTTAAAAACTGAATTAATCGATTAATATGATCTTAAGGATTAGATTTAACTAATACATTCTAAGGTTAATCGATTAAAATGAGCTAGAAACATTCACGACAGAGTTTTAACTGATGTATTTTCGAAGTAATCTATTAGAACCATTTAAAACATACACTGGAGTTGTTTTAACTAATAAGTATAATCATTCCTATCTCTCTGCTACATGAGGATTATTCATTTTGAAAGAATTTGGAAATGCCTCTGAACGTTTTAATCTGTTAAAAACTGAATTAATCGATTAATATGATCTTAAGGATTAGATTTAACTAATACATTCTAAGGTTAATCGATTAAAATGAGCTAGAAACATTCACGACAAAGTTTTAACTGATATATTTTCGAAGTAATCTATTAGAACCATTTAAAACATACACTAGAGTTGTTTTAACTAATAAGTATAATCATTCCTATCTCTCTGCTACATGAGGATTATTCATTTTGAAAGAATTTGGAAATGCCTCTAAACGTTTTAATCTGTTAAAAACTGAATTAATCGATTAATATGATCTTAAGGATTAGATTTAACTAATACATTCTAAGGTTAATTGATTAAAATGAGCTAGAAACATTCATGACAGAGTTTTAACTGATATATTTTTGAAGTAATCTATTAGAACCATTTAAAACATACACTAGAGTTGTTTTAATCGATGCACACTCGAATTAATTGATTATTTTAATTACAAAAGTATTTGAAAACTTTCTATCAGTATTTTAACTAATATAACTTTGAATTAATCAATTAAAATCACTTGAGAAGTATGGAAAAATGTTCTGCCAGTATTTTAATCGATGTAACTTCGAATTAATCGATTAAAACCACTTGAAAAGTTTTGAAAAGTGTTTTGTCAATATTTAAACTGATATAACTTCGAATTAATTGATTAAAATAACTTGAAGTGTTTTGAAAAGTGTTCTGTCAGTATTGTTAGACAAATGACATCTAGAGGGGGGGGGTGAATAGATGCACAAATTAAAATAGATGTCAAATTAAAAATTTATTTGTGAGTCAATAATGGGTTTGAACACAGATAAAGGGGAAGCGATAATATAATCAGGAAAAGAGAAAGATAAAAGGGAAAGAGAAGAGCACACAAAGACTTATACTGGTTTGGGTATAACCAACCCTACATCCAGTTCCCAGTCAACTCTTAACACAAGAGTAATTCCCAATTCACTATGTTTCCAATTCGGTTTACAAATTACAATCAACTCAGCAGAAGAACCAGTAAAAAGTAAACTAATTAAAAAGACAATCACCTCCTTAGAAACCCACTAAGGATGAACACCTCCCTAGAATCCCACTAGGGATGAACATCTCCTCTGAACAAATCAAAGGATGAAAAAAACACCTCCTTAGAATCCCACTAAGGATGAATACCTCCCTAGAATCACACTAGGGATGAAAACCTCCTTTGAACAAATCAAAGGATGAAAACACCTCCTTAGAATCTCACTAAGGATGAACACCTCCCTAGAATCACACTAGGGATGAAAAGCACCTCTTTTGCCACCAATACACAAAGGATGAAGGTAATAAAAATAAGAATAGTCACACCTGGGTAATGGAGACAACAAATTGTAGAAGCCTATAGAATGTCAATCTCCAAGAACAAGTGTGATTAACAATGAAAGCACAAAAGACAGTAGAGAATAGGGTTTTCTCAGAAGGTGTAAAATATCTCTATTGCCTTGCTCAAAATTATTTTCTCAAAACTGATTGAATATAAATTGTATTTTCAAATTTTGTGATTGTGTGTTTTTTATTTTTCATCAAAACTTAATTAAATAGAAAAATAGCATCAGAAAATGGTCGTTGGACATTAATATTTTTGTGAATAAAAATCAGGATATATTCAAAAACATTTATTCTTCAAAACATATATATTTATCAAATTTGAATTGCCATAATTGATTATGTTACTAGTATAATCAATTATGACAAAGAAAATCATTTTCCATTTCTGATGCATCATAATTGATTATGACAGTGAAAAATATCATGTTATGAATTTTATCACACTTGTGCTTTGGAGGCTTATGCATAATATTACTTCATCAACTTGTACCTCCATATCCAGTATTCTAAGACTCTATCTAGTCTTCAGGAATCATCTTGGGCTTGCTTGAATCATCATCTTTATCAAAAACATATCTTGAGCATGTAGGAAAATGTTTGACATTGTCACCAATGTTTTAAATTCAGCTTGTCCTTAATTCATCTTGAATGGTGTTGACTTGAATGTAGGTTACTTGAATCATCATCAAAATCATCTCTAAAATCATCTCTTGGGAATGTAGGTACATTTCCATCAATCTCCCCCTCATTGCTTTCAATCTCCCACTTTTTTATGATGATCAAGGAAACACCTGAAATGAATTAAAATGCTTGACTTTATATAGCCAGCTCAAGATTTGCACAATATAGTATAACATAGATTAGCACAGATTTGTATCAAGTGTTAGAGTCTCTTAATCTCCCCTTGGATATATTAATAACAAGACTCCCCCTAACTCATATGAGAAAATACTTCTCTTAACTCCCCTTGTTTAATTTAGAGATAGGAATGAATTTCACACAGATTTTAATTCATCAAAAAATCTCCCCCTGTTTTACACAGATTAATATCAGCAAAATATCTCTCTGTTTCATTGATAATTATGAAAAATATTGCAATAGAAATTGAGAACAAATTTACACATATTAGTACATAAATCAAGATAGAGAAGATAATGCATTATAAAGTGTCATAGAGAAGAACATCATATTAAGGAGGCACTATCTAGGATACCTAAGACAAATGAAGTGAGAGAAAGATAGGGGAATAAAATGATTGTAGAGATAATGGAATAAAATGCAATAATTTTCCCCAATTAAATTCTTCTTATTTAGGCATCTTTCAAATTTAAATTCACTCATATTTCAAATTCAAATTACAACAAATTTCAAATTTCAAATTCAAATTTCTAATCCCAAATTTCAAATTTCAATTCTAGTTCAAATTCAAAAATCTCAAACTACAAAAATTTAAAATTTCAAACTGCAAAATTTAAAATTTCAAAAATCTCAAACTGCAAAATTTCAAATAAAAGAAATTCAATTTGAAAAAAATTTCAAATTTCAAAATCTCAAACAGAAAAATTTCAAGTTAAAAAAATCTCAAACTTTCAAATTTCAAACTTTAATAATTTCAAATTTTCATAAATTCAAATTTTCAAAATTCAAATTTTCAAAATTCAAACCTTCAAATTTCAAGCTTTAATAATTTCAAATTTTCATAAATTCAGATTTTTAAAATTCAAACTTTCAAAATTCAAACTTTAATAATTCAAATTTTCATAAATTCATATTTTCAAAATTCAAACTTTCAAATTTCAAAGTTGGTCAACAATCGAATTCATGTGACAGATAAGTGCAAATATTCAATATAGAGGCTTGAGAGACAATCATAAACTTATTTTTGTAATATTTCCCTATTCATCTAGCTTGTTCCTGTACACCCATTTAGCTTTAACAACCTGCATTGATTTTTTATCCTTGATAATTACCTGCAACATCAACATACAAATCTAGGTACCCTTTCATTATTTTTGGGTCCTTAAAAAGGTTAGTAGAATCACAAGTATCTGCCAAAAGACTAAAGATTAAAAGAATATAACCATGATATAATAATCGATTATCACAAAACCTTCAAAATCAGCATAATTGATTATGACAACAAGAAAAAAATTTCTGATTCTGATAATCAATTAGATGCTTAAACTATCATCTAGACATGTATAAATGCTTTGTTCCTTTAGGCACCCATTCATATTTGCCATTAGATATGCCAAAATGTTTTATGTAACATCTATTTGATGTATGACCTAATTTCATGCAATAAAAACATGTTGGTTTTCTTTGAAAAGGTCTAAATGAGTTTCTTAAAGTTTTTGAAATTGGTTTCACATTTGTTTTCCTTGACTCTTTCACAAAAATAGTTTTATAAGGTTCTAGACTTTCTTTGGGTTTGTAACCAAGTCCAGCTTTGCTAGATTTCCCTCTTTGATAACCTAATATAGAATCAAGATTTTCAGAAGATTTTGAAAACTTGCTTATTATTTTCTCTAACTTGAAAATCTCATTTTCCAAATGATTACAATTTTCACAAAGTTTAGCAACTTCTTTATTTTCTCAACATCTATCTTTAAGCACTAATTTTCTTTTTCAAGAATACCAACAGTATTTTCTAATGCATCAAACTTTTGTCTAAGTGCATTGTATTTCTTAGATAACTTGGTAAAACCTTCATACATATCTTGATATTCTTTAAACAACTCATCATATTCATCTAAGGATTTTGTACTGCTTACCTGTGATGAGGCCTCATCATCACTTTTTGTCATCAAGCAAAGATTTGTTTCTTCTTCTCCATCACTGCTTTTGGAAGAACTCTCTTGTGTTGTGAAAGAATCATTATAAGCTCTGCGTTTTCTCTTATAGATATTGTTCTTCTCTTTCACATCTTTCTTAAGTTTCGAACAGTCTGGTTTGATATGGCCAGGTTTTCCACATTCATAGAAATGATATTTATTTGTTTTCTCCTTTCTTTGCTGTCTCTTTTTCTTGTTTTTCATAAAGCGAGAAAATTGTTTAACAAAAAGAGACATATCGGAATCCGAAAACTTACCTTCATTTTCGCTTTCATCTTGTGAAGAATTTTTTGCTTTTAGAATTATCATCTTGGCTTGATTTTGTTCACCATTCTTTAACCTTTGTAGCCCCATCTCATGTTCTCGCAGCTTTCCAAATAGAGTAGTAATATTCATTTCTGTGAGATCCTTTGATTCTGTAATAGTAGTGACCTTTGGTTGCCAATTCTTGTCTAAGGATTTCAACATCTTTGTATTCAACTCCTCATTGTCAAAACTCTTTCCTAATGCTTTCAAGTGATTTACTATA